CGATCGCGAAGTACACGAGCCAGATGATGTGGCCGAGAAGGCGGAACATGAAGAGGCAAACGAAGAGGCGGAAGGGGAGTGCGAACAACAAGAAATGGCAGAATGTGTTACAGAGTCAGAACTGGGCGATCTGTTGCCCAGAGATGCATTTGAGATGTGACTGGGAGATGAGGAAGTCGACGCGACCAAGGCTCCATGGCGACCGTCTTGTGATTTTTGCCCAGAACCGAGGTTACCTGTCGCATCTTCGTGCATAAAGCCGGGCCTTTCAGCAGATGCGACCTCCGAGAGAAGTGGTTGTCCGGCTGTGCCCTCATCCGAGTCCTCCACGACCTCCGGTAGAAGGGAACAGCTGAGCAAGGCCTTGACGCTCCTGCGCCGGTTGAAGCCTCGATGGCCGGACGTGGCAGTTTGTGCTGAAGAAGCGCTCTGTAGGGGATTCCCGGAAGCCGGACCTGGAACAGACGACAGTCTGCCAGTCAGTGGAGCCATTTGGCCTTTGACCGGTTCTCTGGCCATTACGCCTGGGCCGAAACCTCGGCCGATAGGTTGGTCAGCCTCCCTTTGCGTCGAAAGAGTTTGGCGCATCGTCGCCGAGCAGGTGTCCACAAAGTTGGGCAGTCCTCGAGAGTAGAGCAGTGTCATGCTCTCTTTGGCCTCCCGCTTTTTCTCATTTTTCTCCTTCGCCTCTTCCTCCTCCTCCGCCAGTCTCTCAGACTCTTGAGCATCCCATTCACCTTCACATCTTTTCGGCCGACCCTGTTCCTTCGGCATGTTGTCCGCATTCAGCCGCAAAAGACGCGCCTCCTTGGATCCGCCAACTCGACCAGGCAACAGCGAGCCACCCAATTCGGACGCTGTAGGATTGTCCAACGGCGACGGACGAACGTTGGGTCGCGTCGCGTCTGCCGGTGCAGCTGAGGCGGGTTGTGCTTGTGCAGCAGCTGGACAGCTGGAAGAAGACCAAGAAATACTGCTGCTCATGCTGCTGCTGCCACCGAGGGCAAGTGAAATGGACAAAATTGGCGGATGTTGGTCGTTCGCTTCGCTGTTGCCGAGCTCTGAGTTGTTTTCAACCTCATCCGTTTCGTCCAGATTGTTGCTCATCTGTCGGTCGACGTTCGACTGCAAAGTGAACTTCAGATGCCCGTGTTTCTGAGCAAGAAAGCAGGCAAGGCCATTCTTTAACCAAATTACTTCAAGCAAGCAACACTTTCTGACAAAGTCTGACAATAGTCTGACTTCCCCGGAACTGTATGGTGAACTAAGCACCCAATTGTGTGAAGTAAAACAATTGTGACGACGGACGTATTGCTTAAGTTGGTGATTATGTTCATGTACAGACACAATTATCTGTAGACATGTAGGAAAACTGGATTTCCAAGAATGTCTAAATAACTTCGTGCTGGAATACATTTCATTTCGTTTAAAGAGGCGATTAGAAGGGATTCATAATTTGGCCTTAACGGAAGCTGAAGGGGCCTTCGTGTTTTGGTGAATTATCGTGAAACATGATATCCTGTTCTGACAATGTCCGTCGCTGTGAGTGTAGATTTGTGAATATGGGTCCTCGGCGCACCACCTGGCAACCCAGATTCATTCTTGCTGGTGAATCTGGGTTAGGGTGGTCGGCTGCAAGCATGCCTACGTTTAATAGTTTGGCTAGGTCCACTTAGGGAGGCATCTCATGACTAGGTTGGAGACCCTATACTTTTTCTACATGCTGCTGAAAAGTCAAGTGGCTGTGTATGATATGTGAAGTGGCTGCAGTTGAAGCGTGAAATGGATGCAATTGTCAGTGAACCTCTGCATTTTGCTCTACAGCACTTATCTTTTTTTGTCTGATATTGCAATGGCACCGCATGTGAGTGTGCCCAATCTTTGTTGTGTTGTGTGTATGCAATGCTCGTGAGAAGCGTGAGGGTTGAGAGTGAAAACCAGATTTGAAGCTATTCAAGCCTTCTCTCGCTCGGCGATGCTTCTTATTTCCTCTCGTTATAATCCTATCCAATGGCCAGAGGTAGTTTCCATTTAATTTCCTTCACTCGTTCCTTTTATTCAGGATATTGACTGTATTGTTGATTTCTGTAGATTCCCTTATTTTCCATTTTTTTAATATATTTTACATATCCAGCTAAGCGTTTGGGCTTAGGCTAGTCTATCTGTCAGCTGTGTCGGGTCAGTTCTGACTTTCGGGCCCACAAACCTTTACAGGCTCTTTAATGTTCCGATAACCTCTTATGTATGGGTTGAAAATTCTCCCCCATATAGGCGCTACCACATGTACACAAAACCTTGTAGTAGCTCGATTTGGAAAGTGAGTCGGAAATTTCCCGAAAAATGCCATTACTGAGGAAAATATTATTTTCTCCTTCTAACTTATCTTTTTATCCCAATTTCTTAGTAATTCATCACCCTTTGTCGAAGAGTGGCACGAGGGTAACATCAGGACCCTATTCGAGTGGTCCAACTGCCCATCTTGCCAAAAATAGATGCTTCTCTCCATCCCATTCGCTTGTATTTTAAAGCAATGCTCACTTAATCCTAATAGTTAAACATTCTCACCTAAAATTTCCTCAATAGCCTCAGTTACTGCTCCCGATGGTTATCATCTGCAAGACATAGGCTCTTTGTTAGCATGAATTTCATAACTCCCACTTTACTCCATGAATATGATTTGAAAATAAATTTAACAGGAATCCTACATTTGTGGGTTCCCTGTGCACATTCCTGCCCAGTTTACTTCCCTCTGTTGACTAGGACATCTAGAAAAGGTTTCTAGTTCAGACTCGTAGGCTGATCTCACCCGAAGATAATAGGACCTAACACTTTTTGGATGTTTTCATCATTAGAGAAGATGGTTAGTTAGGACGAAATGTTTATAGGAAGGCAACGTATGTTGGTTCTTCTTAATTTTCTTTCCAACCATAATTACAAAGCTAAGGTTAAAATTTTGAAACAAATGATTATTAAGAGTATGAGACTAGCGGTTAGCAAGGATTTGACTAAAGAATATGGAAGACTTAAAAAATTTATTCCTGTAAAATAACTATCATTTAGGCCTAATTGAGAATAAATAATCGTTACTGAGGAATACATTTGTAGATGGAGAATATTTAGTCAAAGATAAGCAAGCTGAGAACTTTTCTCATGCTATAGTTTTGCCGTCATGCCATCCTTCTAAGAGAATAGGCGAATTCGTGAGAAAGTGAGCGATAAAAACAGTGTTTAAAGAAACCCTCACACTTTCTTCTGTTATGCCATCAATTAGAGAAAAATATGGCCCATTATCGAGATCATGATGCTAAAATATTGTTTCCTCCTGTGAGTCATGCCGGCCTATTGGACAAAGATTGGGGAACACAAAAATGCTTGTAAAGGAAGCTGGGTCGAACGATCAGAAGTGGCAGAACGCATTGCAGAGAGTGGACATGAGACAGAATTGGCTTAAACTAGTAGGTGTGCTGATTATGGTACGTCTGCTATTAAAATGAAGATAAGAGGCTAGTGAAATTGAGGGATTATGAAAATCATTGAATGTGAAGAACGGTGGTAGTAAGTTGAGTAGGAACTATTTATGCTTGATTGATATATTGAAAGAGACAGAAAGGGTTGAGCCTCCATCCAAAAGAAGGCGACTCAACTTGTCTGCTCAGCAATGGTTCTAACTTTACTCGTACTTGTCCAATGTGTTAGGTTGAGCGCATCAGCCAAACCAGACGTATGCGATTGCGCAGCCCCAGTCATGCCTTTCTTTGGGTAGTTAACCCCTAGACTAGGAGGTTAGGACAAGTGGTTTCGTAACTTAACTTACATACTCTCAAGCTTACATCTCATTATCACTATTATACTTGCTTAAGGATGTATGCAGTCTCGGTCAGGGCTTTTTCTTGGGCCGTTAAGCCTCGATCACCAGAGCCTGATATTAGCCTTCTTCATCACTCTGATTTAAGACCGGTATTGTGTATAGACTTTAACACCCATACGCACACACACACATTGAGCAAAAGTAGAAGGACCAATACAAAAGATAATAAGCCAAATCATTCCATATCTTTATTATTGGGACTTTTATATCGTATCAAAGTGTATGAAGAAGAGATTCAAAGGTCAATCTCACCAGAAGAGGATGGTTGAATCCTGTTTTTAATTTTCTTTTGCTCAATTGAGTCTAGAGAAGATAGAGCCATAGAGTCTTCTTGACCTAGTGTCATCGTGAGACTTTTACAAAAATGAGTTCCAGCTCTGATGATGTCCATCGTATGAGGGACAAAACCTCAGCTCGGTTTCACCCGAAACAGCGGAGGAGGTCTCGTGTACTGCGCCAACTTGAGCGCCGTATTAAAGCCAAACGGCTCCAGAAAAACGGAAATGAATCGTCCTCTACTTATGAGATCACCCTGCGAATCTTTTCTTCATGCACTTTTTTACGGAATGAAGGTTGCCATATGGAAAAATTGTTATGCATGCACCTAAGCAATAAATTAGGAACTAAAATTATTTCTTGTAATAGGCGAATTTCTAATTGGGCCATGTAGTTATTTGCTAAAATTGGGGACAAAGATGATCTCACAGCTAAGCCTTGTGTTTGTCCGTGCAGTTTATTATTGAACATAATATATGTACAGCTCATCACTAAATTCGACAGCCTCATAATTGAATTCTTTCATAAATTTGTATTCCTCACAATACCCGGGTTTCTGTCTAAATTTGACTCTAGCGCCTGAGTAGCTTCGTCTACAGGAATTTTGGTGTACATCGACTTTACATAAAAACTATCAAGCAAATCTCCACCTTCTATTCTCTATTCATCGACTAATTGAACGAATTCATAAAAGATTAATAATGAAAATAGTACAGGATTAGAGAGAGGGAGGGGATAAGAAGCATCGCCAAGCAAGAGGAGAAGGTTTGATTAGCCTCAAATCTGGTTTTCACTCGCAAGCCCCACGCTTCTCACGAGCATTGCATGCACACAACACTAGTGAGATTGAGCACAACAACATGCGGTGTCATTGCAGTATCAGATAAAAAAAGATAAGGGCTGTAGGACCTAATGCAGAGGTTCGCTGACAATTGCATCCATTTCACGCTTCAACTGCAGCCACTTCACATATCATCCATAGACACTTAACTTTTCAACAACATGTAGGAAAAGTATAGGATCTCCAACCAAGCCATGAGATGCCTCACTAAGTGGACCTAGCCAAACTATAAAACGTAGGTATGCTTGCAGCCGACCACCTTTCTTGTCGTCGTACTTGGTGAATTATCATCGAACATGGTGTTCTGCTCTGATGATATCTGTCACATGACTGGCGAACGCTCAGCAGGGATGAATCTTGGTTGCCAGGCGGTGCGCCGAGGACCCATCCGCACATATCTACACTCACATCTCCATGGAAATCACTGTAAAGCCATTGTTGATGCCAACTTACGAATCTCTTCAATTCGCTTATTAAAATTAAATTAAAGTTATTCTAACATAATCATCTGTATCTTTATTGATGCCGGGAATACCTCAAAATTAGACTTTTACTACTTTGGATGCTTCGAAATTGGTTACTTTTGAAAATAAAATAGAGCCGACAAACATAATTTCGTTTTGGCTAAGAGTAAAATAAGTCCTTGAGACCAGAGCAACATTAAAACTTAATTATTTTTCCAAATATTTGCTCAAATAATCTCAAAAATTAGGGCCTGT